GGGGGGTAGGAAATGGTTTTAGTACTACTGATTAATGGAGTTCTTACTGGATCACACATCACACAAGCAGTTTAGTAGACTGACTTTTTTATGTCAAGGTTTTTGCGCTGAGTTGTTACGTTTCTTTAGTTATTGTCATGCGAATGCGAACCTGGCACCTAATGGACTATAATTGTTAAGTGAAAATATCGCTAATTTCCTTTTTTGATTCTCCTCTGTCGAGTTACCCGTGTGCCTTTCAAGTCGACTTGATCCACGGATCATTAACCAGTTGCTTCACGTTTTCCTTTGTGTATAATTTTATGTTAAGTGTATCATTAGAAATTTTATCTGTCTTTTTTTTTTCATTGATCTTATCAGTGGGTTGCGCAGACAAGGCGATCACGAGATTTCTGGTCCTTAGCACATAACTTATATTAAGGGCATAGTATTAACAATTTTTTCACAATTTTAACCTTTACGCTTTTAATATGAAAACATTGTTTCCAAAACGGGATGATTCGTGACATCTTCCTGTCGGCTTTTTGACAAAGAAATGTTACGGAAAACAGTCGGACAAAAGCTTACTCAAAAATGAGCTTTCGGTTCAATTTAAAATAATATCGATCAGTAGGACTTCGAGAAAGTTCATCCCAAATGGGTCCACTCGGCATGCAAATGAATAATTTATCAAGTCCGGGAAAACTCAGATGAACAGAAAGTCATTTCTAACTCAAAAGATCTTTGTTTGTAGACAAATAATCGTAAACAATACCGCTCTTGTGCGAAGAAAGAGGGGACATTTTGAAATAAGCAAACAGACAAACCACCTCAAAGTATGCGACAAAAGAATGTCTATGATCATTAAAATCACAAGACAGATTGAAAAGTTTAATGTGACGCTTGACTAAGCAAAATTAATCAATAAATTGCGTAGTAACCAAAATTGGTCACAATTCTTTGCTACGTAGCTATAAAATTTTTCTTGTTATCTTTCTTGCAGCAACTCTCGTTTACCAATCGTCTTAATGGGCTAAAAGCTTCACGACTAAGCTCGAATTTCTTAAATATCGAGACATAGACGAGTTGTTGATTAGTTCATGTATTGTGTCGGTCAGTTTTTTTTGTGCTAAATTGGAGTGAACTAGTTGCCAAGGGTCAATGATTTTATTCTGCCTGGCCGATAAACATCTTAGAAATTAGTCTAGTTGGATCTAGGACTTCGCCCAATCGATTCGTTTGTCAACTCAGCTGATCAACACACATTTTGAGGTCTCCTTTAGGAGCTGATCAACACATTTTGTGTAAGTGCTGAAATGGAGTGAACTAGTTGCCAAAGGTCAATGATTTTATTCTGCCAGGCCGATAAACATCTTAAAAACTAGTCTAGCTGGATCTAAAAGTGAAAATGGTTAGTCAGAATTCATCGTTAGTGTATCTGCAAATAGATTAGTTGGGTGTAGTTTACAAATATGTTGTAGCGGAGTAATTTTCGTGTGTGAGTCCAACTTAATGTTGCCTAATTTATGGAAAGGAGCAACTCGTTTATCAGTCGGTCGTTCAGAGTTTGATCTTTAAGAGTATCCCTTAGCTATTTTTGACTTGTAATTTACTTCCCATTCATAAATTTTTTTTACTGTTTGCACCCTATGTTCGCCAAAGTCAGAAACTATCTTTTTGGATGGTGGAGGACAAATACATATTTCTATTTAGAAGTCCTGCATGATGTATACCCTTTCCAACGCAATATTTCTGGCCTTCACTCTATTGAAAGCTGTTTTATAATTTGCCTAAGCCAAGAAACTTCGTTCTAAGTCCTCCTAGAGGCACAACTGGAAGGATACCTTGGGACAAAAAGCCGCATAGAAACTTGTCTTCCATCTCACTCTTCCCGAGCAAAATCATCACTCACGGCAGATACAAAACTGCTAAAAAGTTTTCATTTTAAACCATTTTCATTCTCTTTCTGTATCGACTCAGCAACGATTTATGAAGATGACAAATGTTCTGTGGTGGATAAAGTTGGCGTCAGTGTTTCTGATGAAGAGTTCACAATCAGATGGAGGTAAATTTTACTTCATGATAGTGCCAGCTAAAAATTAGATCCTTTTTATTGACACGCCAGCTTGTTTGTTCTTTTGTGTTGTGTGCATTAACCATGAAAATATGCCAAGGCATGTTTGAATCTCATGATCCGAGTCAATAACAAACGTAGACGATAACGTGGAGGGTGAGTATTATTATTATAATTTATAATTACATAAGATTAATTGGGTTTGTTTTACATGTTAGCAAACAATTATAGAGAAATGGGATTAAAGATGCCCTTTTCGCTCTTTACGGTCTCAAAAAGCGGTCTCAAAGATAATTCAGTCTGCAGACACGTTTAGCGAACTTTTTGTTTCAAATTCATATCTCATCCTTTTATGTAGACCGTTTGTTCTTTCACTATTTAATGATGAAAAAAACTTGTTTGAGCGCGCTTTGGCTTTCCAGGCATCCTAAATGCTTGGAAACACTTTTTTGTAGATATCTGTCAGTTAGTTGTCTGCACTAATTCGGACAATTGTAAACATCACTTCGCTAGCTATGCGCACCGACTCAATCAGTAATGATTATCACTCGGATTGTCATTCGGTCACTCAGCTTAGGTGTGTTGCCAGCCTGATACACGCCATACTCGGAAACATCCCTTGATCAGTCAGTTGTAGATAAGATATTCCTTGTTCGATTGATTTAAAATGTAACTCTTTTTTGTTCATTTATTCGGTTGTTTGAAACCTTTTTGATACTGCATTCTCGCGTTAAATCTGTCTACCACAACTAATTAAGCATCCCACGCTTCTGGGTGGAATATAATTTATACGAAGTTTTTACCAATTTAAAACCGCAGGTCGGTTATGAATTGACGGCATCTGTGTTATAAAAATTGTTTAGTTTATTTACATCTAAATTTTACTTCACGCATCGGTTATTTTATAAAACCACAGGAATAATTGAGAATTGTGCATGTAATTTCTCAATTCAGGAATTTTAGGGTTTCTTTTGATTACATTTAGGATAATCACATCCTAATAGGAAAAGAAACAGAATCTTCACGGTTAAAAACGTGCAATTTCAATTTCAAAGCTGCTGCTTAAGCTGCTACAGCCTTTGGCACCAAATAGAGGTTTCGCGGTTACTCAATGGAATGTATCATAAATTGAGCTTTTGATATCACTTGTATGAGTATTAACATATGGCACCTAATGATCAGAGGTATGGGTCCAAAAATTTCCTTTTAATTAATTCTGTTGACCAAAAAGCCGACTCTGTTTGTAGGAGTGTCGCTTATGGTTCTTTGCTTTTTGCGTCGTCCACCGCCTAAATTTTCCTAAATTACAAACTTTGTAAGTCCGCTCCATGCTGCTCCACACAATATTCATCTTGGACGGGATGAAAGGGGACAATCCCGAGTGGGAAAGATGGGCCCAATCAGATGACATAGATTCCAATCAGAGCACATGATTCATTTGATATTGCCGGCCCACAGGCGTTGCCAGCGATAAAATAATCGGTAATCTGGTTTGGTGCAATACACTGTCTCCACTTTTACTGCTTCGAATTTTTCTATTCCTAGCAATAATTTGCACTCCGCCATGTCTGTTGGTATCAAATACAACTGATATAGTAGCAGTGGACCATGGAAAAGCAAAGGTAAACTCAGTGATTCTAGGCCTTACAAGAGCTGTTGCTATAGACGTCCATTTCAGCCTGGGATTCATATTTTGGAGTGACGTGACGGAACTGAACATCAAACGACTTCGGATCGATGACGAAAACACTACTACAGTTATAACTAATATTGGTGTCTGCGATGGATTAGCCGTTCAATGGAGGACATCTCAGTTGTATTGGACTGATACAACGTATAATAGGATATCGGTATCAGACCTGGATGGAAACAACCAACTTACTTTAATCTTCTCGGCATTGGAAGAACCCAGGGCCATAGCCCTTGATCCGGACAACGAGTAAGTGTCATATTTGTGCGATTTATAAGTACATTATGATTAGCCGCTCGGATATAATACAGTGTGCACTTATCGAACTTCCAATATATTAATTAGTGAGATTCGGAGAGCGCAACCGATTTCTCAATAGTTTCTTTGCAACCTTCATAAGGTTTTTATAATGTTTCTACTTATTCAAATCTCATTGAAAACGGCGGCAACAATTTGTTTTTCAAAATCAACGTATATATTTTTAATAATTTTTCAAGCAGGATGATGATCTTAGCTGTTTTAGTCGTCGACCTAATTTACCTCCCGGAATAAGACTCCTTCCAAATATTCCAGAATGGTGTAAATAGTATTCCTTTTATGAAATAATCGATCTTTGCTGATCGTCTGAGGCCTTCTTTTTGAACTGTAAACTGAATGTCATAAATTCATTGACTGAACAATGTAAAAGCTGACCGACTGACTCACTGATCGATGTGCCGATTTGGCTGAACGACAGACTGACTGACTGACCCTCTAAATGATTAGCGAACTGTAGTAGTAGGCTTGCTAACTGGCTAGTTATAAGACTGGATAAATCATTGATTCATTGTCTCACCTCAAAATTCTACTTAAGTTTAACCTATTGATACCGTTACTTAAACAGTGCAATGATTTGGACTGACTGGGGAAGCGCTCCCAAAATTGAAAAAGCTTCCTTGAGCGGACAGCAAAGAGTCGCCATCGTAACAAAAGAAGTGTACTGGCCGAATGGAATTGACCTCGACAGAGGAGGCAAAAGAGTCTTTTGGGTAGATGCCGGTTACGACAGAGTGGAATCGGTCGACTACAATGGTAACAACAGGAAACTGCTTTTTCAGATGCATAGCCTACATCCATTCGGAGTAGCGTTGATCCCTCCTTTCCTGTTCTTTACTGACTGGGTGACAAACAAGGAGTTGCACATGCTGGACGCTACAACCGGGGAGGTACTCAAAAGTTTCAGTGTTAATGGTGGGCGACCTATGGGAATTGTTGCATACGACAGTGGGCGACAACCAGCAGGTAATCTTAAAGAGGCTATCAGCTACTCATGAATTAGGTTCTCCTCATCAAACACTGTTGGTAGTCACCTGTGAAAGTCAAGAGGATATTGACGAAGTCCTGGACGTTGTTTTAGCGTTGAGTCTCAGTGCATTTGATAAAGAGGATATCAAATGGAAGCTAGCAACGTTTTCATTGTTGTGTCTGCCATGAGCGAGGGCACCAAAAAATATTTTCCGCTCGTGAAGAGCTGATGTACATTTCAACAACATTTTCCCACTTTCGATTCAAACGAAAAGCTTGCAAACTCAAAGGTTTACGGTAAACAAAGCTTTCAGCCGTACTACTACATTCTTTTCCGTTCACACTTTTCATGATCAATCGCCTAAATTTGCATTCCTGGTCAGAATTTGGACTAAAGTATATGAGGAAGTGGAGGTTAAAATAGTCATTGGTGTTGTCAAAGTGTGCAGCTTATGAAATAACTGTATGGTCGACAGTATAAACTGCACGCTTTTACATTAAAA